GTATATATATATATACGTATATATATATATGTATATATATATTAACATTTATTTAAATATAGTTGAATGATGTCGATGAAAGAGGAGTGGAGGGGTCCTCCACAATAGTCTTTTCTTCAAAAAGTGGGTGGAGCTGAGGGGTTGCAGAATAACTTTGCGTGGCCATAAACTATATTTGCTGAGTCTGAGGTTTTGAGAAAAGGCCCTTTTTTGTATAAACTCTACCATATCAAAGCTGTGAGTACGTCAATATTCAAACGAAGTGTTTGTGAGCTGCTGCACTACAACCTAATGTAACCTCATGCTTTTTGCATTCCAGAAGCGGGGCTGTATCTTCTGTCACTGTACATTCATGAGTTGTGGAGTGAGGCTACATCAGCTGAGCTTTTCCTGTCTCATGTCCACTTGGTGAACAAAACTATGTGCGCCAAACGGAAATCACCAAAAACTCAGCCCAGTGCCCTCACAGCCATCTGTTCAGACATCATTGCCTGGAAAACCTCATGACACTGCCATGACTTTTACATACACACAAGCCTTGGATTATTCCTCTCATGATATTTTATTAAACTGTCTTTTGTAAAAATCTTTGTCAAATGTTACATTTACATAGATGTATCAATTAGTATGTGTGGTAAACCAAGACATGCTACTTATTAGTTATTTTCCTGTTATAACAATTAATGCAGAATTACAGTTGAAAAAAGATGTTAAAATGTATAAAAAACACAATCATTGTCTCCTGAAGTTTTTTTTTTTTATGTTCTCAATAATGATTAAACTCACTAACTTTTTTAATTAGAAGTTCAGTTTGGACTTTATTTCCAGAATTCACACTGAAATCACAGAACTCAGATTTCTCAGTGTGCACTCTAAAACAATTCATATTTTTTCATTGTTATCGTTCTGACTTGTTCCTATCATTCAGAATTTTCTAAAGAATCCACAATAAGTGTCAGGTATGCCTTTCTACAGAGCCCTGTCCTAATGATTTTCAAATTAATTCAGGTTTTTGACACTAAAATGAAAATTGTGATCAGTTTCTAATTATGGAAATAATCTCTAAGTCGGACATTTTTCCTTTGAATTCTGACTTTAAACTCACTGCTCAGTGTGTAAAATTTAAATCCTGAGCTCAACTAAAGAACTAAAAGTTGTTTTGGGAATCCTTCCTGTTTTCAGCAAGAGCCAGCGTCTGATCAGGCTGTTGATATTCCACCTCCTTTGACTTTGGATCTGTGGCTCCTGGAACACAAATATTTTTTAACAATTTTCCTTAAAACTATCTATTGTTTATTCATGGTCTTCTTACCTTAATGGGTTCGAGCTTCTAGACATAAGATTCAAAAAGAGAAAGAGGAATCCCACAAAGGCAGCCAAAAATATCCAAAATAATATGACGATTGAATCTAAAAGGGAAATGTAAAATTCTCGTTACTTTTATGCAACATAAGACAAAAATATTTGCAAATTCATTTGCATAATACTTACATTTATTGTATTTTAGTTTGCTTTCATCCACAATCACAGGATCAATGTAATCATAGTAATATTCCCATTCATAGGAAAAGGTGGCAGTAGAGTTCTCCATTAAAGGTGTTTGTTGGAAGAGAAACAGAGCTGTGACATTAAAATATAAAATCATCATTGAGTATCTTTGGGAGTGGGTGTCTTTGACAACCACTGTTTTTGTTACATTTTTCTATCATTTGTCAAGTCCACGTTGGTTTGAAATGAGCACTTTAATGGTAAGTCTTTGTGTTTAGTCTCCAAGATAAAATAAACAATACATTTTTCTGTCATTTTTTTTTCCAAGAGTGAGAAATCCTGGATCGAGTAATAAAAAACAGTTTTAAACAAATTAGAGTGGCCGGAAATAATATAAGATCAAAAGGAAATATAAAGAAAGATCACATTTTAACCATTTTTATTATTTTGTCTTCAAAAACAAAACAAAAAAACAGATTAACTAAAAATATCTGTAAACTGGTAAAAAGTATCTAAATAAACGTTCCACCATAGGAGACCAGTGAATGTTGGAAAATTTAAGACCTGTAAAAGCCTTGGATGCAACTAAAAACCAGATTTTAAAATGTTCCTAAAATCTGAGGTCTCTTTTTTTATTTATGATGATCAAGACATAATCAAGGAGTTTTTTTTTTAATTTTAACAAATACATTATTACACAATGAAAATGAAATGATTAGACATTCTTGAAGTCATTATAGTATGTTTAGAAATATTTACAATCAATTGTTTTGTATAGAAACACTTTCTGTCAGTATCAAAAATGGTCCTCCTTAAATTCCCTGGGTTGAACAAGAAAAAAACCCGTTTTGGTTAAAAAAATTAATTTTGATGAGATGAGATTTTATTTTTTAAATTCCATGTCTTACCCAATGTGCATATGATCCTGTCCCAGGACGTGCTCTCGGGGGAAATGACTTTCAAAGCACATTTTTCTTATTATCAGTGAATGAAAACTATTAGGTTACGTCATCTGACGTGATGACGTCGTATGCTGGCGGGGTTACGTTCACAGGGGCGGTTGGAGGACACATTCCGACTCCGAGCGTAATATAGCAGTCACAACTAGCCTGCGCTAGAAATAGGTTTATATTTCCAATCATTTTTTAATGTACATCCTAGACATTAGCATGGTCCTAGTGAAGTAAAACAGCCCGTTTTAATTTACCCAATTGCCATCAAAGTAGTTTTGAAAACGAAAAGCTATGGAAGCAGTGAATGCGTTCAACATGGAGGTAAGGTTTGTTCTTCTTTAAGCTCAAGGGCTACACCTCCTTGCAAATATAATGCTAATAAAACTGGTGTTATTGCCTACCTTTGTTATTCAGGCTAATAACTACACGGTTAATCGTTCTCAAATGTTGGCGTTTTAACTTGTGTTGGCTACTAAGTATTACCGCCAAGTAAAAAGACGCAAATAATATTTGGTGAATTTATTTGCTTAGCCGTTAGCTTACGTCGAGGTTAGCTAGGTATATTTTGAGGCCTACTGTGTGTCTACCCGTCAAACGACATTTAAACCAACGTCTATAATGTCAAATAGCGCGCAAATACCGAAAACAAGTATTGCTCACACAATAGTCGTATTATATTTTATCTGCAGTGGTACGGCTTGTGTAAATTAAGCTCTTGTTAGTGTTAACTATGCAAATATTAGTCGGTGCTCGTTATGACGTGTGTATAATAATTGACCTGAGCAACACTTGAGTTACTTTTGAACTCTGGCCTAATCATTCATCATGTTTGCACGACTTCGGAAGTAAATGAGACCTAAGTTGTGTGTTTTTTGTTTTTGTTTTTTTTTAACCATTAGAACATGTCTGCCATTGCGTCTCTGACAAATTGCAAATTGAAAGGAAAAAACGATTAATGTTAAATGGTCTGTATTTATGTTTACTCGACTCACTTTAAAACCGACATAATGACACTATAGGTTTATGCTTTAACACGGCATGTAACTCATCCTCACTCCCCAGCAGGGTGTTGATTCAATGCTATCACTCATGACATGATGGTGCGACTACAAGTATATTGTTTTGGATTTTTTTTAACCTGATGAAATACGACTTCAATATATATTTAATAAGAAATGTAGTCCACATAAAAGTTCAGATTTGGCATTGCTTACTGCATATAAGAAATATCTCATGTGGAGACGCATTGGCCTATGCTCAATAAAAATAAATTGTTTTAATCATGCTGTTATATATTGCTAATTGTTTTCATCTATGATTTCTGTTCTAATAATAAAATGTATTATATTCAGTGCAAAACTGTATATAATACAAAAATTATGTGTGATTGTGTCGACTGATTTGATAAAAAGCATCAAACCTCCATTAAAACACAATTCATCCTGGATATATGACACATTCATAAGTAGCAGATAACCCCTCTTGAAGTTTTGTATTGATCATCCTGATCCACTAGTTAATTAATTTAAATTGGGCATTGGTCCAACTGTTAGGCAAACTTTATGTATGGAAGAAACTATTTGTTTCTTTGTTCTGTTTCTTGAACACAACCAGCTCAATAGCTTTGGGGAGGACATTTAATGGGAAATGTATTAAACAGCACACAGGTGGATATAGCGAAGGCTTTTCCCCCCAGGGCATGCTGCAGGCATATTAAGTAAACGATTTGCTGCTACGAGCTGTTTCATCTTTCGTAAGAGTCGGCGTCTTATTTGCATTGAGTGAGTCAGAAATATTTCTTGTTGTACTCAGGGCTGCCCTTACACACCTTCTGTTTATAGTAGTTATTGACATTAATCAATAAGGAGGAGCAAGTGATGAAAGTTGTCAAGTTTGTCAAACCCTTAGGCTTTATGCAGATGATATGACCCATGTATGGTCCATGTATCCAGGTATATCTGCATTCTGTTACTTTATGATTTTGGTCATTAATTTGGTTGACAATTCATCAAAGAAACATTTATAAATACAGATCTAGTATTCTGGCTTTCTAAAGGCACCCTGGCAACCTCCTAACTGTTGTGTTCTTTTTTTTGGTTTTCTTTTAATTTCTTTAGCTGTTCTCCATGATTGACCTAAAGCCTCCCATATCTCGTGCCAAAATGATGTCTGTGACAAAATCGGCCATCAAAGCTATCAAGGTATGGGAAGCATTGTGTTAAGGTATTCTCTGTTCTTTAGTTTTGGCTTTTTTAAGTAGAGATCCGTCTCTTTCAACATAAAAATATACCATAAGTGTTTGACAAAACAAAGTTGACTGATTAATTACAAAGCCAAATAGCAGTGTGACAAGTGGCAACTTGAAAATTAGGGTGTCTGATTTATTTTTTTGTATAGCCTCATCCCTTTTTTCCTTTTTTTCTAGTTCTACAAACATGTTGTCCAGATTGTGGAAAAATTTATTAAGAAGGTAGGGTTTTTCTCTCTTTAAGAAATAGAGGTAGCTATAAAGCTTAAGAAATGTAATGTAACTTTTTTTTCTCATCTAGTGCAAGCCAGAATTAAAGGTTCCTGGTCTATATGTGGTTGATTCCATCGTTCGACAGTCGCGCCATCAGTTTGGAGTTGACAAAGATGTATTTGGTCCAAGATTTTTGAAAAACTTCACAGATACTTTCCAAAATCTTTACAGCTGCCCAGATGATGATAAGGTACACTCATAATTGTCCTTCTATCAATTCATATAATTACACTGGTCATCAGAAATTGTTCAATAAGTAAATGAGATCTTTTTTTTGTTAATAGAGCAAAATAGTACGTGTTCTAAACCTTTGGCAGAAGAATGGTGTGTTTGAAATGGATATTCTTCAGCCCTTGATGGACATGTCTCATGATGCAGTGGCACCTTCCCCAGCACTTAAAG